TTGACACACTCGGTTATAACACTTATGATCAAAAGGGCACGTGTTTGAACCCCGGGTGGTGCACCATTTGAGGTTGGGTATGACTGACTGATGATGGCTAATGAGTCAGAAACGGCCATTCCAGTTCCTCTTGTCTTCGCCGGCAATGCTATCCACTAAACCATAAGTGACTATTTAAATGCCTCTGTCTGCGTTAGTCAACCAGTTCGATTTTCCTTCTCGCTGTTATTGTGAAGTTTCGTCCCGGAGCCCCGAGAAAAAACAGAGACACCACTCTTGGGATACTCTGGTGAATGCCATGTCAGGTGACACGACCTCGCGTCTAACACACCTGTAGAACGTGACCTTTAAAATGCCTTAGATGCGTGCCCGACTACGGGAATCGGGTCACTGCAACTGCCCTCACAGTTCAAATCCTGACTTTTTTAAAAGGACAATAGACCCAAAGACGACACCGCTCTGTTAAGCATCTTCACACCGAGGGCCTCTTCAGTTGCTCAGCTGTAGTTCTTTCATCCTTTTTTCTATCGAGCGCTGGCAGTTTGATCGTCGCTCTCGACGATTTCCACCATGAGCTTCAGCACGCTGAAGGCAGACGCGGTGACTATAGCTGGATTATAGTGAAAGTAGACTCGCCGGTTCTACCTCACTCTGATCACTCCCACGACTGAATCTAATGTCAAGACAAAATTCGAGAAAACCAGAGATAAGGGAGGGCCGTGTGCGCGAAACACACTCCAACACGCGCCACAACAACACCACTTGGCTAGTTAGGCTCCCACGTAAGCGGGAGTGTCATAAAGGGGGCACATTAAGAAAGTTATTGCAGCCTGACTGTCAGCCCACAGTTAGCCACTCTACACAACAAGACACACATTGGGCTGACTACAGTGTCCAAGTTATCCCGTCAGTTGACAACCCTTCAAACGCACCGCGGTAGCTTCAAGCGCACCAGACTGTTTTTAGTGCGGAAAGAAATTCGCTGAGGGCTGACCTCCCTCTTTCCCCCACCGCCAGCAACAGGCCACCACCTAGCTGATCGGTTGCCTGAGGTGGGATGGGTGCAGTACTAAAAAGGAGAACAAGCCGGAGGTGAGCATTGAAGAGCAGGTAGTGCATGGAATAAGAAAAGAAGAAGGGGAGAAAGAGATGGAAAGGGAAAGAGAGAAAAAACAGAAAGAATAACGAGAGAGAAAACAAGGAAGAGAACGGAAACGAGAACAAGAACACAGTTTCCTCCACTGCAAGGTAAGCTGTGTTCTATCGAGCGCCGCAGACTGATGCACATACCGTCGTGCGCCGTCGCTGGGCGTTTCGTTATGCAGACATAAGAACCTTAACAGTGGACTGCTTACCTCTTTCTCTGGGTGCGCGGGTGTGTGTATGTGCGAGATCTTTGTCGTGCGCGGGCACCAATAGTGCACCAGTAATGAAGGTAAGCAGAAATCACGCGGCGTTAAGTGTGTTCACACACCAAGGTCGCGTCACGGTTGCTCACCCTCCTGTGTGTGTTCTCT